AAAAAAAAAAAAAAAAAAAGAGAAGTAAGATTTTGTCTCCGTATGGAACAGGTCAAAGGGAAACGGGCTCACGTGGGCCAAGAACCTCCCGATGTTTTCCTTAGAGAAATTTCTAGAAAGAGCCACCTCCTCAGTTTCCTGACCCGCAGAGCAACTTTGAGGATGATTCTGAGACTGTCTCACCACAGCCCAATGAGATTGCCCCAGCCAGCCAGAAGGCCGGGGCTCGGGAGCTGAGCGCACACACAGTCTCCATTTAGGAAGCGAGGAAGGTGAGGGGCTGTAACAGTCAGGGCCGGGGCTCTCCACGCGGGCCAGGGGACCTCAGCACCTGAGCCACTCTGACGGCCTGAGGACGGCTGCAACCCCAGGCTCGTTCCCTAGAAGGCCTCTCGCCTCCTTTCACCACCAGCAGATGAGCACGTACTCGGAGGATACAAGAAAATTAACATTACCCTGAGCAAACCATCGTATACAAAGAAAGTGTAATTAAAGGAGAGGGAGGGGCTTCCCTGGTGGCGCAGTGGTTGAGAGTCCGCCTGCCGATGCAGGGGACGCGAGTTCGTGCCCCGGTCCGGGAAGATCCCACGTGCCGCGGAGAGGCTGGGCCCGTGAGCCATGGCCGCTGAGCCTGCGCGTCCGGAGCCTGTGCTCCGGGCCGGCCCGCGAACAAAAAAAAAAAAAAAAAAAAAAAAGTAAAGAGAGGATGAGGGTAAAAGAGGAGGGAAACTGCATCTCGGAGCAAAACGCTGAATGTGGTTTGGAGCTGTTCCTCCATCAGCTCCCTCTGACTGGATGGGGATGGATGGGCTGGTGTGGCCTGGGGGACGAGCAGGGATACCCCGGAGGTGACCTCGGGGTCCAGGCAGGATGGGAGGGTGCCAAGGGCACCACCCACCGTTTCCCCAACCCACTGCCACCCCTGAAGGCCCGGCCCTGGCTGGCGGCCTCACCTGGGTCTGGGAAGGCCTGAAGGCGGCGTCGAAGCCATTCTGCAGGGAGTCCAGGAAGGGCTGGACCTTGTAGAGGCCGTGCGTGGTCTGGCTGGAGCGGAAGGCCACGACGTGGAAGTACTTGAGGATCTTCTCGAAGCGGGCCTGGCTCATGACCAGGGCAAGCCTGCGGTTGCTGTAGAAGCCGCCGCTCCAGATGCTGAGGACCGACTCGCAGTGGGAGGTGCTGGTGGAGATCACGTAGCCCAGGAACGCCTTCATCTCCGGCAGCGTCACGTCCACCCAGGCCCCGTCGCTCCCGAACCGCTCCTGGAACTTCTTGGCGTACAGGTTGGTCTGCACCGCCATGTTCTTGAGGACGTTGTCAGGGACGAAAAGCTGGAAGAAGTCCACGGCACTGGCGCTGGGCGGCATCTTCCGGATGGGACCTGGACAGGCAGGCCAAGCGCCACTGCTACAGCCACTGGGTCCCCTCGAGGCCTCCGCCCGAGCGCCACCTTCCCTCCCAGCCCCCTCCAGGGAGGAGCCCGAACACACACGCGCCCCGAAGCGTCCTGCTCTCCACCCCCTCCCCCGACAGGACACGCCGCCCCGCTTCCCCACTGCGCCCTGTACTCAGCCCCGCCTCACAGAGCTGGCAGACCAGAAACACCATCGGAGGGAAAGGCCCACAGGGGAAGACGGGGGAGGGCGCCACCAGAGACACAGCGAATTCGGAACAGAGGAGCTCGGCGTGGCACTCTGGCTCTCGTCTCCTTGTAAGTTAAGGTGACTTTGGAAATAAGAATGCTTTCACCACTCGGGGCCCGAAAGATTCCGTTCAAGCGAGACGGCAACCTATTAGGTACTGTCTGGGTGGTGACTCTTAATTTATTAGTAAATAAATCTGAAGGGGCTTGTTTAGATAATTTCACCAATGCAATGAAAACCTCACAGTTTTTTACAAATGCAAGGACAGCCTTTTGAAACACACACACACACATCCTTAGAGAGACATGGCTTTCAACTCCACGTAAGCCAGGCTAACAGTACGTAGAGACTTGAAGGGGCCAAGCTTTGCTTCTACTGCATCCTCATAGTGACTTCTAATAAAAGCTGTGCACATTCTTTGGAAGCTTAAACTCACCCCCAGCCCACCACCAACTTTCCTCTACGACTGATTTAGGCAGTCTCTGAAAAACAACTTTTCTACAGCAAAATTAAGACTGACAGTGTACATGAGGCGTCCCAGGTCTTAAATGCAGATGGACAGATCTGGGACGCGCAACCCTAAATTTACTGCTCGCTAACTGCACGGCCTTGGATAGATTTCTTCATCTCTCCCGTTCATAAAGTGGACACAGTAACAGCTGCTTTGCCAGGCTGTCGTGTGGGGCAGGCTGAACGGGGGATGCAGGGGATGCACCGAGCACAGTGCCTGGCCCTACGGAGGTACCTACAACTGGGTAACCTTTACTGAGACATTATCCAGAGAAATCCATTGACGGTGGGCTGAGGGCTTTAGAATGCTCTAACTGCCCTCATTTTACAGAAGAAGAAACCAAGGCCCAAAAGAGCCAAGTGGCCACCATATTCTCTTTCACCAGCCGTTTCTTGGAAGGGCTCCAGGAGGTCCTGGGGCCATGGGCACCGGCCCTGGCTGACCTGACAATGAGGCCGGGAAGACGGCTCCACGGCCGCCCTGACTGAAATCATTTTATTTCCGCAAACCTTGCAGTGGGTGAAGCCATAAATTATTCAGGGGTAGCTTTCAAAAAGGAGGAAAGCCAGCATTTTAATGGCTACATCATGCTGAGTAAGCAAAATGAAATTTTCTCTTCCAAAAGTTATGTTTAAAGTCATTTTGCCTCTCAGACCATTTCAAAATGAATTCACACAGCAAACTCGGGCCTGGCCAACCGCTTAATGAAGAAACCGGCAAGTAGCTGATACCCTCTTATCTGTTTAAGAATCAGGCCCTGGAGGTGGGCAGGTCCCCAGCTGAGATAAGACTCCCTCCCTTCTGATTCATGTATCAAGAGCTTTGCTGGGTGTTAACCCCTGTGATCCTCACGACCTGTGAAGCAACGTCCCGTCGTGCAGGTGAGGAAACAGGAGCACAGAAGCGCGAGGACACAGCCCAAGGTCGCCCACCTCTAAGTGCCTTAGAGCACGGTGACCTTCGTCCCACCGGGCCTAGGTCCAGTCACCCTGCTGCAGCTGTGAACGGCGCCCCTGCCGCCCTCCCGGGTGTCCCATCCGACCACGAGGGCCGTGGCTGTCTGCAACGGCGAGCACACAACTCAAACCAGGTGCGTGGTCCTCATGACCACACAGCCTCCCTCCGCCTCCAAGGTGGGCAAAGGAGGGTCACAGAACATAGCCAAGAGCAGCTCTGGAGGGAGAAGAGACTCCACGCTGCCGGCAGCATGGAACTGGGGCTGGGGGCGGCCCTGGGGGAAGAGAGGGGACGCCTGCCCGGGCTTATCTTGGCGTCCAGCTAACGAGCTCACACAGCCGTCTCCCTCCCCTCCCTCCTCACGGCCACCCACCCCATCATGTCACCACGCCGCCCCTTCAAGGCCCCATCGCCACCACCCACCTGGTTCCCTCGGCCTCCAGGGGATCAAACCCAGGATGTGGCAGCAGGCCTGCAGACCGGGGGGCCCCGACAGTCGCTCAGTGAAGCTGTATCCCCCAGAGACTCCCCAGCCCACCGCATGCGAGGAAACCCTAACCCCTCTTCTCAGCAGCGACTACAAAAGCAGATGTGCTGTTTGGAAAGGGGACGGTCACTCGAGGGTGGCAGGGAACCACCATTCAGTGAAAAACGTCGTGGTGACCCTGGGAACAGAAAGGAGTGTGACCGGTATTCCCTCCCCAGACATTCTCGATGGGGTGAGGGGAGCAGGCCACGGAGAGTGACCCGGTGACATCAGGCTGGGGAAGGCTGTGCCCACGAGGGGACCCTGGGTCCAGGGCCTGGGGACAGGGTCTGGGAGGCTCCCTGAAGGGGCCACGCGAGCTGGGCTTTATGGGTGGAAAGTCATCAGCCTGTGGGGCGGGCCCGCAGACGTTGCAGAGCATTTCGGACAGAGAGAACATCTCGTGCAAAGGCCCCGGGAGGAGGGTAAGCGGCTCGAGGCGTCGAGGGGCACGGGACCTGGGCTGGCACCGGGGCCGGGCCAGTGAAGCACCGTGAGCACGACGGACCACACCTCAGGGGGTCCTCGCTGCCGCAGAGTGGGGGAGGTCTGGGCAGCTCCTGAAGCCACTGAGACCCGGCGGGGACCCAATGGAGCGGGAAGGGTGGCCACGGCCCGTCCCTGTGCTTCTTGGGCTCCTCCCCTGGTCCCCCTGCAGGTGTGCTGGGCACGGGCACGGACGACAGGCAAGGGGGCAGTGGGGACGGCCTGAGCCCGGGAGCCTCCATGCAAAAGCAGCCACATCCACTGATCACTTCTGCTGGTACTAGGACTGGCACGCAGGCTGATACCTTAAACCCCAGGTCCCCCACTGCGCCCCCCGCCCTCCGCTCCTCCCCACCGGCCCCCCGGTTACCTGGGCCAGACACCTGGACCACCGTGGGTCCCGCACCTCCTGCAGCCCATGCCCACCCCTGCAGCACGTCCTGCCACCCTCACCGCCACACCGTGCCCACCAACCAGCGCGTGCAGCCCGCCCTCCCACGCGGCCGCCACCTCTGGCCTGGACAATTAAAGCAGCCTCCCGCACGGGCAACCCCCCTCCGCAAATAACTGACAGCAACAGGGAAATTATTTTAAAGACACAAGCCGGATCACAGTACCCCCCCTGGGTAAGGAAAATGCCCCCATGAGTGCCCGCTGCACTTAAAGCAGAGCCACATTCCTCCCCAAGCGCTCAGGGTTCAGGGCCCTGCATGCCCCACCCCCAGACTCGTCCTGGGCCACGCTGCATGTCGGGCAGGTGCTCGGCTCATAGGTGGAGCTGGTGTCAGGCCTGGGCCCCGGCATCTCTTCCCACCACAGGGCCTGCGTCCACGCAGGCCCATCTGCGGGAACGAAGCCCTCCTGGCCTCTGGATTCACTGAGCATCCCCACTGGTAGGCTTTCCTGCCCACCCAACTGCAAGCTGACCAGCGCCGGGCTTCTCAGTCTCGGCCCCCACTGGGTCTCCCCGCTTATGTTCATCAGCCTACGGTGGTTTTCTTAGGGACTGACACTTGCTGTGGTCTGCCTCTGCTGCCCCACCCTCAGAGGTCGAGGCCGTCGTATCACCCTGCAGCCTCGGAGCCCAGTACACAGTATGTTCAACACATTCCCACTGATGGTGGATGGAACGTGAGTGGCAGGGAGGAAGGAGCCACGTCCACCAAGGAGGAGGGGCATTGGTGCTGAGCCCCCTAGGCAGGGTCTGGTGTCTGGACAGCAGCCCCCCGTGCTAATGCCTGGTGGAGAGGCCAGGTCAGCCAGCAGCTTCTGTGTGTAACAGGAGGCCTGAGTGGGTGGGCAGGGCGGGGCAGAGCTGGCACACCCCTGGCTGCACCTCCCTGAGGACACCAAGCTGGGGTGGCCAGGTGAGCCCTGGGTGGGAGACACTTGGTCACGGACAGGATGTGGGAAGGGGTGCGTCACAGACACCTACCAGGTGCCCAGCTTCAGTGAGCTGGCTTGGGATATTGTTGGGTTTAATTTCCTCCCTCCCTCCCTTCCTGAATTGAGGGAAACCACTGCAGAACTCCCCCTGGCCCTTCTGCGTCTTCTGATGCCTTTTCCCCCTTCCCTGTCCACAGCTGCTGGCTGTGTGACCTTAGGCAGGGCACATAACCTCTCTGTGTCTCAGTTTCCTTATCAATCAGATTGGAGTAATAACCACCCTAGAGTGAGTGGAAGTCAGACAATGGCCGGGCCCGGCCAGTCCGCCCTGAGGCCCGCTGGGGCGTGGGTCCCGGTCCCCAAGGAGCTTCTCCAGCTGCTCCCTTTCCTCCACGCACTGCACCACCCAGACCCGAGGCAGCGGGCACCCCGCGTGTGGCACTGACCCCCACCTTTGCCCTGTCTGGAAGAAAAGCCTGGCTTTGTGTGCTTTCGAAAGCGTAACCTTTTAGAGACTGAAGCTTTCATTTTGAGATGAGATTGGCATTTTGCATACACTGGCACTTTGGGGGTACAAATAGTCAGCAGTTTTGCGACATATATGAGGAACATGGTATTTTGAATTAACAGCTTAAGAATAACAAAATAACTTATCTCCAGGGCAAATCAAACGGTATAAAAATATAACGGGAGGACTTCCCTGGTGGCGCAGGGGTTAAGAATCTGCCTGCCAATGCAGGGGACACGGGTTCGAGCCCTGGTCTGGGAAGATCCCACATGCCGCGGAGCAACTAAGCCCACGTGCCACAACTACTGAGCCCACGTGCCACAACTACTGAAGCCCGCGCCTAGAGCCTGTGCTCTGCAACAAG